TATGTTTTCTGGATTGTATTAGTCCTTAGGACTTTTCAATCTATATTTGAATTTAAAGACATTCATCACTTGAGTGGGCTCATGCTTTTGCAGCAAGGCTTGCTTCCTGCCCTTCCCCTGAAATTCCTTTCTTCCAGAACACACACAAATACATATTGTGGCAGCACATGGTTGGGTTGGGAGCCTGCAGGTGATTCTGATGTTTGAGAGGAACATTCCATGAGGAATGTTTCTTCTGCTGGCCAATGGTCAGCCCCTCAAGGTAGGCAAGGTCAAAAAACAGGACAACAGGATTTCTGGAATGTTCTTTATTATTTATTTATGGGCTAGAATAATAGATTCTTGAAAGCTGTCAAAGGTTCTCTCTGGCCCATTTTATACAAAACAAAAGGGTGGTGTTATTTTGAGTTTCTTTCTCAAGCTTTTATCCTTCTCAGGACTGAGTAATCTTTTGTGAAAGTCCCCCCTTAACAATATCAGGTCTACATTTCTATATGCTGTTTAACCCAGTTGTAAATAAATCAGATAAAACATTTATTGTGAGGTCAGATATCATAAAAGTCAATAGGGAGAACTTTAGTCATAGTAGCTTTGTAAATAGAGACCAAGAACTTATTATTTATTACATCATATGTTGTAATGCACAGTCAGGCAGTTTTCGGGTGTTGAGGCCACAGGAGGCATGGCTAGTAATGTAATGTCATTTGTTTATATACAGGTAGTTCTCGTGTTAAGTATGCCTGGTTTAAGGGCAGCCCAAAGTTAAGAACAGAGCCTATTGTAGCAAAATTCAAGTTAAATACAAAATGATTTGAGTTAAATACACAGTGGTTTACACAATAGTTCTCATACAGTATTATACAATAATACGGTTCCAGCTTACATACAAATTCGACTTAAGGACAGACCTTGAGAATGGAACTCGTTCTTAAACTGGGGACTACCTGTATACCATTTCCTATGCTGAAATGTTTACATTCACTTGTTTTCTTTTATTTTTTTTCCTGGGTTGGGGCTTAAGAGATAGTATCTTAAGACTTGCAAATATAGAGCTATAGCTCTACCAAAATAAGAAAAATGGGCCTAATTTTAGGGGTTTGGTGTTTTATGGGTATCTTAAATCTCTGCAGTGGCTTGATGCATCTGTTTCACCCTTTACTTTCCAGATTTCAAATCTCAAACTTTGGGAGGACAGGAGATATAAACAGAGAGCTGGATGTTTGCATGTAGCCTTCTTAACTACAGATTTCCCACCCGTGCTATGATAGCTAAGCTCTTAATATTAAGCAGAGTAACAATATTTAATCAGTTTTTCAAGTTGCCCCCAGATTTATCCAGTAATTAATTTAACATTTTATAATTATCAAAGCAAAATTGCCAAGCAAGTTCTGGCATTTAATCTCTTCTTTATAAAAGGCTCTCTAATGAAAGAGAAGAGAAGACATCGATTATACAAGTTCTTGTGTCTCAGAGTTGGCAAGCCAATGCGGAAAACATTTGTATCACAAGCAAGTGCATTGATGCAGCAATATGCACAGAGAGATAAGAAGCATGAGTACTGGTTTGCTGTGCCATCAGAAAGGTAAGATAGACTATTTTTTCTTTAAGTATGTTCATTGTAGAGGAATACCTTATCTTTCTATTTCTAAATTAAATTTAAATTTAAACTTGCCTTCATATTGAGACATTAATTCCACATCCATCTGAATTGAAGGCTTCAACCATACAAGAAATTTTAGTTTATTGCCTCTTACCATGTCCTACATCCATGTTTGCTGTCTTGTTTTCTTGTTGCCTGTTTCTTACTTGATAGTTACAAGTAATTTTTCTTGGTATACTCTCTCTGAGTTTGTTGCAATTTGCCATTTGTTTACTAGTGGACTGGATTTAAGTGGGTTATATAAAGATTGTGGCAGGAAACATGTTTCCTTAACTGTATATGAGGTACTCATTACCTTAGTTGAAATGATCATCCAAACCATGGATCATTTAATATCCAAATGAGCAGATTGTGCTAACCTTCCAAACCCCAGTTGTGGTTGTGCTAACCTTCCAAACCCCAGTTGGAGTCTGCAGTTTGAAATGTATTTCCAATTTTGACATAGAGGCCAAATGCAAAGCAAGGTCTGCCGATTCAGCCATCAAAACAAACTAAACATAAAATATCTAAAATTTTCAAAACATTAAGATTCTTAAAATGGTATATGCAATTGTTAGTTCTACATAGGGTTATCGCGGCCTGGTAATCTTACTGTTACATCTCTTAACTGGGCTGACCAAATGATGCTGCCAAGGTTCTTTCCCAGGGTTAGTTAAATGATGGAAATTGAAGAAATTCATGGATGATAAGGGTATCAGAAATATCCCTGGGTCTGAATCGTTTCTGAAAGCAATGTGTTTAGGAATTGCCACTTGCTCAGTGATAACAATAGGAAAATGTTATTAATTTTTGCCCTGTTTGTGTGTTTCTCAGAAGCATCTGATTGGGCCCTTTGAGAAGAACATGCCAGACTAGATGAGCAAACATCTGATCTGTCATGGCTAATTTTAAGTTCTTAATCTTCATTTTTTCTGAATTTCTAGTATTACGTGTTTGTGATAAACATGTCTTTCCTGTCGTGTTTTTTCTTCTAAAGAAATTCCTTGAATCAAGCTTGATTTATGGTGCCTTGATGGTTATTTCCATGTAGTTTTCTTAGCAACAAAACAAAAATGGTTCTACACTGCCTTCCATTATGTTTGTTCAACTTCTCATACCAGCCTAGAATCCTAGTATTTTCTGGTGGTTCCCTAGTTAAGTACTAAGCAGGTCTTACCCAGCTTACCTAGTTGTCTAGTTCTGCCAACTAGATGTGTTGTCCTCTTCTATTCACTTTTTGTTTTTTCTAATGAAACTAAGAAGCCCTTTCCTTATAGGAGACTTATTTCTACTTCTTGGTGTACTTGTGTTGTTGTTTCTTCTGGCACTTTTTCCAGATTTATAATCTGTTGTGGATGCCATGATTAGTACTGATAGTGCTAAGATACTGAAAATATTGTCCACCATAGCTTTATTGTACATTATAGAATAAGGTTTATACGAATAGAAAAACATGAGTAACCAATAGTGAAAAAAAATAGTGAGTTACTACTTAGAAAACAATATTTCCAAGATTTTGCACATCTGAATGGGCATCAATTTATTTTTCATTTTCCCTTTCAAAGGACTGAACATCTGTATGCATTTTTTGTTCAGTGGAGTCCAGAAATATATGCAGAAGATACTGGAGAATCAAGTAGAGAGCCAGGATTTATCGTAGTAAAAAAAATTGAAACACAAGCTGGTGAAGATTCAATTAATGAAACAGCTGTTAAAGAGTGGGAGGTAAGTGAATGCTTCTTACCAACTTTAGAAAACAAAGCATTTGTTTAAAATTCTTAAATTTCTACATGAAGAAGTTTAATGCACAAATATAATTCAAATATTGTTGAGTAACAGTTGTAAATACATGTTTGTCTAATGATTGAAAAGTTTAATTTTTCTCAGCATTGCTATAATTGTCTGGGGAAGGCAATGTATAATGCTCTCTGCTGTTGTGACTGCAGCAGAGGTCAGGCAGCTGTTGCATGTAAGCATATGTAACAAATAGTTTGCTTATTTAAACATGAAAAGCCAAAAGGGTGAGGGTGATTTGAAATACTAACTGAGAGCACTAAACATTGTGCTTACCAGTTTTTCATTCCCTAGCAGTTTTTTTCCACTCATTATTGGGAAAGAATTAAGCATTTATCAATTGCTCATGCTTGTTTTCTTACCCAATTCCAGTAAGGTCCCTCCATGCTTTTCTCCAATTTACAGAAGTTATTTCAGACTTCCATTACATGCATTTATTAATTTAAAAAAAGTATTGCCTTAATATATATTATTGCTCAAATAAATAGGTGAATTTTTGGCTTAAATTTTTACTCTTCAGGCAGTTGTTGCATACATTATTACAGTATGAACAATATTGCAAATAAAAAAATAGGTGTGGATATTAATTGGGTATTACATATCAGAAGCCTGGAAGAGGCTCTGTTTTCTACAATAGTAATTCAAAAACTCTTTATCCCTTAATTTGCATTCATATTTTAAATATATAGTTGTATGTACTGTGTAATATTGTGTGGTTTGTTTATTGCTCATTTTTATTTTAAAGTCACTTTTCAAAAAACAAAATCTCAATGTTCAGAATAGTTACAAGTTTATAATAATGATTTAAAACAAATGATTCAATTAACATATAAATAAATATACAAAATATGTATTAATATACATAATATACAAAAATCACAGATAAATTAAAACAGACATCTAGATAATGTTGAACTAGATCAGAAGTGTTGGCATTAGGCTTGGTGCTAACTGTATCTAAACAGGAATGGAATTCCATAGCTATATTGTTTTTGTGAAATCCTGCCTTCACCCCCAAAATGTTCTCAGTTGCTACTTGTATTGTTCAGGAATGAGAATGTTACAGGGAGACAGGATGAATGCCATGCCCCTTTATCAAGCATCAAACAAAACTTGCCTGATTTCATATTCTAAGACTGCAACAAAAGGACACAAAAAAGAACAATTTGATACTCGTAGCTTACTAAAATGAAAAAATAAAAGGTTCCTTTATTCTGAAATTACAGCAGACCTGAAGAGATCCCAAACCAACATGTCACTGCAATAAATGCACCATAAAGAGCATAAGGCCCAAGAACATGCACAGAATGCATACACACCAAAGTTCACTACCTCAGACCACATAGAGAATGTACTCCAAAAGATTGTAGTCAAGTAGGCAGAGGAGTATGCGAGAATGTAGTGAACACTAAATGCTCTGTAAATACACATATGGTGTCTTAGTTGCATTTTCATAACAACAGGAACAAGAACTAAGCTTGATCAAGGCATTTATGTGTGTGTGGGGGGAGTCAACAATGTCAAAACGATGGGTGGAACCAGGCAGTAAAAGGCCTGCCCATTTTTAATGTGCATTGTACATATCATATATATGTAAACATGGGCAGGGCTTTGATTATGTCAATCAGAGCCAAAATTTTGACACTGTGGACAAATGTGTTCCCCCCAATGTTCCTATTAACCAGCCAAATCAGCATATAAAAATCTAAAAGACACCACATTGTTATGTTCAGCTTGGTATTGGTGTGTATTCTGTATATGGTCTTGTGAGCTGAGGATGCTGTCAGGATGCTGAATTTTCAGAACGCTTTTTGAAGATAAAACCAATTTTATTTTAAAGGCATCCTAAAGCTTAGAACACAGAGGATACATGTTTGAATTTAACCACAACACATCAACAAAACCAACATTGCCCTGACCTTTCTTTAAATTAGCTTCTTTTTTCTTTTAACTGTGCTCTGTGATTTCCCTCTGTATTCCAAATTTACCAATTTCTGTCAACTACTATCATAGTTATTAGAGCAGGTCATCAAACTGAAATGATATCTATATTCTGAAGATACTAGGCTTTTTTTAACTGAAAAAAATACTAATAAATTGCATAAAGTATATTAAAAATATAACCTCTGTGTCTAGTTCCTTGTAGGCTGGGCAGAAGAAGAATGTATTTATTTAGAAATAGTATGTGGATAGTTGCAATAGAAAATGTTGAAAAGTAGCGTACATAAATTCAAGTTTATTGTGGTCATTGACCAGTGTTTTAGACAAAGCAAACATTGTACCAAGAAAATTAAGAAACAAAGGAAAGGTAAAATGTATAAAAAGAGTTTTGTGAGCAGGAGTTTAAGTGCAGTCCTTAAGATAATAAAAAGAGAGTAAAACAATCTTTAAAAGAGATAAGGTATTAACTGTGGCATATTAATAGAAGATAATTTCTTGAATATTAAGAGCTAGATTAGGAACTCCTAAAATATTAGCGTGTTAAGAAAAAGTATATAAACCATGGCCTCCCATAAAATCAGAGGTGACAGCTGTTTTATTTTGCTTATTTATTTTAGTTTGCAGCTGTTGATAGTAAAATGCTTCATTAAGGGACAGAGTGACCCTTGAGAAAGGGAAGATGTATTATCATGTTCTTCATAGCTCTTTTACTTGTATTGAATTTGAGCTACAGTGCCACTTTGTGTTCTTTCTTTTCTTCTAGAATAGATTCATGCCAATTCTTAATTAATTAGTTGTTTCCTGGAACATGATATTCTTGACACCCATACTTCAACTACTGTTTAATTAGAGGCTTCATCTCAACTTTTATTCTTTTGGATTATTACCGTTTTTGTAGCTGGTTGACAATTGGACTGGGACACTGTCCTGATCCATTCATGATGAATTTCCTATTCCTAGTGGCCTCAATGTGATGCATTTCTTGTCGTTTATTCTTAATGAATAGTAGGCATAGGTTGTTGTCAGGATCACTGAACTGAAATATAAGGCTTAATTTTTCCTTCTAGGCCTTGGTAACATCACTTATTAACCTCTCCTGATATTTTTAGAAACTTTAGAAAAAACTTCTTATCAGTATCATGCTGAGGAATTGATCAGGGTTGGTATTAGGCTGGGAAGGAAAAGTTCTTTCTCATTCTAAATCAAAGAGAGAAGAAAAGATACTTAAGGCTAGAATATAACTGGGCAAAAAGCTTTTTTTGTTTATTAAAAGAATGATGGAGGCATCCTTGTGAATGAGGACCAAGATACCATTTTTGTTTTTTCTATCAAGCTCCAGCAATGCTGTTCACTGAAAAAGCAGCTCAGAGGTCTGTGCCTTACTTTGTCCTTTTTTTATTTCTACAGTTCCACTGTGTTAGAACTGTACAATTAGCCATTTGCCTAACAAAGAGGGGGAAAATTGTAGTGTATCCAAAAACAGTTTGGGGTGGGCTTCCGGGGAAAAAATGGAGAACTGAAGATCTCTTCGCCAAAAGTAGACCAGCTCTTCGTAATTCCTCTCTGGACAAGGAGAGGACTTGAGATCTCCTACAAGTGCTCCATACAGTTGCTCCTTGTGAGGAGACTGCAAGATAGCGGTCTCCAGAGGGTTTAGAGCTCTGGGAGATGAGGGAATAACCATCTTGCTGAAACCAGGTCGGCGCCTTCAAAGAGGACACTGAGTTCGCATACTTCCTTTTCTGTTCACTTTTAGATATCACTTATTAATTGCTTTTCAGCTATTAAGAACCTTTGGATGAACAGGTTTTATAGCACTGGGTGAGTTTCCTTCAATCCTTAGCAAAAGAAGTTTTAAATACAAGGTTAAGGACTTAAAAAAAATACTTTGGAATAAACAGCAAAAAAGTGATTAGAACTTCAATTTTGGAAAGGGTCCAGATAGACTTAAAACAAGATTTTGGAATTAATTATAAGAATCTTTCCTGTGGTAAAATGTTTTAGTTTTGAATTCTCTAAAAAAAAAAAAAGATAGGATTGGACTTTGAAGGATGGACACTAGAAGGAACCAGCAGGAACTAAGGATTACAATTAAATGAGAAGAACACTTAAATTTGACTTACTAATACAGAATGAAGCAAAATATTTTAACATTGGA